CATGCATGTATATAGCACTTGTGAATATTTTTTCTTCTTTTATTTTGAATTTTGGTGTCTGTGCATAACCTGTACACTATTATCACGATGTTGGGATATCTGGCTTTATTGTGGATTGTTTTCCTATAATGTTTGCCAAATAATAAAAAAGTCGCGCGTTTACCTTTGCGTAATGGCGCAGACAGCAAAATGGGTATTTGGCACATCAGAAGCGTTAAGTCTATATGTAGCCCTTCGGCCAGCAAAGATGGCAGCCCTCGACACTGCCAGATAAATGAGCTTCTGTGGATGCCGCTTCACTCAACTCTCATTGAAAGGACCCTAAAGTCAAAGGACAGTTTATGTCAGAGTGAAAGCTCAATGCATGAAAACGTCTTCAACAGCAATGTTCTCAACGAAAGCATCTTACTTGCCAAAAAATTAAGTGATGTTTATCACAGGACGGGTTCCACAATCTGGACATTGCAAAAACAATTCCGATGACGTGAGAACGTTCGACTACAATGAATCACTAGTAATCAAGGTAGTTCCAATAAAAAATAACTTTCTATGCATCAAGAAACAAGATAAAACGCTGCTTGCTCGTTTCTGTTTATTTTAAAAGAAAAGCAACCACCTGGCATTACTGTGCATTTGCGCTGTTGGTTGCAAAGTTCATATTTTGGATGGTTAGGTTCGATAGGTCGTGTAATCCAGCAGGGTGCAGTTAAACCAAGTAAGCAGAATCATGGCGCGGGAAATGACGTGAGTGGTTCAAATGTTGAGTTTTTGGGTGGCTAGTCTCGAAACATGGTGTCATCTAGGGGGACTCAGTTAACCAAACAGAATCATGGCTTCTCTTATTGCAAAAAAAAGTCGTACAATGGTCGCTGTTGTTGCCGTAGCTCCCTGTACATTCGTTCTGCTGCTACTGCTGTCGTGGCCACGTAGTAAAGGTAGGCATGTTGGGCACGATAATAATGACGTCTGCAAAGGCACTTTGAGGAGTGGGTGAGGATGTGTATCAGGTGTGCTAACGTGATGCGGACAATGAAATTTCGGTTTCAATTCAAGATAAGCACTTCCTTCGCACAAACCTAACACTAGAAGATTTTCGGACTGTATTTCAACAATTACCGCCTACCTAATATTTTCCTTTGGTGTCCTTTTGCCCCAACCTGACGGCTGTTATTTCGCGTGACAGATTGATATTTGCTTTTGGTGACCTTTATCCCGGCGTTACAGTCCTATTTGACTGGACGGCTTAATATTTTTGCCTTTGGTGTCTCTTTGTTTCGGAGTTACGGCCGTTATTTGACGTGATGGCTTAATATTAGCCTTTGCTGTCCCTTTACCCCGGTGAGACAGCCATTATTTGACGTGACAAATTAATAGTTGCCTTTGGTGCTTTTTAACCCGACGTGACGGCTTAATATTTTTTTGTTGCCCTTTTCACAGATGTGACGGCTGTTATATCACATGATGGTCTTTAACCTCATTTGATGGCCGACGTGACCGCACACTCAAGTCATCACCGGGGAGTATTATTTGTGAAACCATCTTCACTTTCTGTGCTAATTTTGGTTTACACCAAGTTGAGGGGTTCATAACGTCAGAACCCAGATGTTCATAGATAGATAGATAGATAGATAGATAGATAGATAGATAGATAGATAGATAGATAGATAGATAGATAGATAGATAGATAGATAGATAGATAGATAGATAGATAGATAGATAGATAGATAGATAGATAGATAGATAGATAGATAGATAGATAGATAGATAGATAGATAGATAGATAGATAGATAGACAGGCAGACAGACAGACAGACAGACAGGACAGACAGACAGACAGACAGACAGACAGACAGACAGACAGACAGATAGATAGATAGTAGATAGATAGATAGATAGATAGATAGATAGATAGATAGATAGATAGATAGATAGAATAGATAGATAGATAGATAGATAGATAGATAGATAGATAGATAGATAGATAGATAGATAGATAGATAGATAGATAGATAGATAGATAGATAGATAGATAGATAGATAGATAGATAGATAGATAGATAGATAGATAGATAGATAGATAGATAGATAGATAGATAGATAGATAGGATAGATAGATAGATATAGATAGATAGATAGAATAGATAGATAGATAGATAGACGGACGGACGGACGGACCGGACGAATGGATAGATGGATGGATGAATGGATGGATGGATGGATGGATGGATGGATGGATGGATGGATGTACGGATGGACGGACGGACGGACGGACGGATGAACGGATAATGACCCCTTCCTCTCTCTTTTTCGTTTTGCCCTGGAGCGCAGTCCATGTGTATACACTGGGGGAAGGGCTCCGAGAGAGAGGTTAATGTTGTGGGCTGTCGTCTGTATCGGTCAAGATTCGAGTAGTAACCTCTTCTTCCAGTTCGGCTCACTTTCAAGGATGGCTGTTGCTTCGAAATTTATTCGGTGATCCAACGTCTCAGCATGTTCGGTGACTGCGCTGTGCTCTTCGTAGGGCTTCCGCACAACGTTTTCGTGTTGCTTCAGTCGTTCCGGTAGGTTTTTCGTCTCGCCAATATACGAAGAAGGCACTCAGCGCACAGAATTTTGTAAACGACACCGGGGGTCCTGTCCATTGTTGGCTGATCTTTCCGGCGGGGTAGGAGGTGGCATAGCGTACACGAATGCTCGTGCGAGATGCGAACCTCTTCTTTCGTGAAGATCAGTGCCAACGTCTCGCTGGTTCCCTGTACGTATGGGACCCTTACGCGTTTCGGGGGGGGGGGGGGGGCTTCCATTTAAGGTTGATTTGGGTTTTGTATCCTCTGCTGCTCTGCGCGGCGGGTGGCGGCCCGAATGAAGTTTTTTGGGTATCCGTTTTTTCTGAGGTCCGGAATTGCGCGAGCCTCTTCTTGCTTTCGCTCCAAGTCATTGGGGCATAAGTTCTTAGCTCTCTGGAGTAGCGTGGTCACAACCGAGGCCTTGTGGCAGGCGAGGTGGAAAGAATCAAATTGAGGGTAGCAGCCACTGTGCGTTGGCTTTCTGTGAATGAAGAACTCCAGGCTCTTGCGCTTTCTTACCACAAGGACGTCAAGAAAGGGCAGGCAGTGGTCGCTTTTACACTCGGTCGTGAATTGTAAGGGTGGGTGCACAGAGTTTAGGTGCTGTCTTAAGTTTTCTACTTCAGACGTCTTCATAACGCAAGAGCAATCGTCCATATAACAAAGAAAAAGCTTAAGTCGCGGCGAGAAGCAGCTGAGTGCTTTCTCTTCTATGTACTCCATGATCAGGTTCGCCATCGTGACGGAGGTGGAAGCTATCATCGCGTTTCTACTGTACTGCCTCAAAATAGTTCCTTTGTAGAAGTACGTACTGGATAGGCAGAACTCCAGTAGACGGCAGAGCTCGTCAACCGCCAAAGAAGTCCTTTCACTCAGGCTTGCGTCCCCCTCAAGTGCAGAACGAGCAAAGGAGACAGCTAAAGACACTGGTACTTTAGTGAACAATGAAACGACGTCAAACGAGACCAGGTTCTCTTCACCGTCGATGCTCACATCTGACGCTAGCTGCACGAAGTGGCTGGAGTCACAGACATAAGTTGGTGTCTTCCGGGTTAGGGGGGTGAAGATTCGGGGTACAAAATTCGAAAGTGCTCGGCATGGGAGGAATTGAAGTCTACAATCAGTTGGAGGGGGACGTCAGGCTAGTGAATTTCGGGTGTTCATAGAAGCTCGGTGCGGATCCGTTACGGCAGATGAGTCGAAAGTAAAGTGTTCTGAGACCCTGGTAATGCTTAAACATTTTCTCGAGTAGCTTGTTTAGCTGAGTCTGGGTTTGCTTCGTTGGATCCTTTACTAGCTGCGTGTATGCGTCCCTTTCTAAAAGAGCTGAAATCTTGCGATTGTAGTCCCCGCTGTCCAACACTACCGTCAAAATGCCCTTGTGAGCGGGCCAGATGACAATGCTCTGACCCTGTTGGAGTTCCTGAAGTTCCTGGTTCTCCTCTGTGGTCAAGTTCTATTTCATTTGTAACAGTTTTTTGAAAGGATCCCAATTGATTTCAGCTTAATTCTTCTCTGGCACCCGGCCTCACGCTCTGAACGGCTTCCTCTACAGCCGCGACAAGTTTGTGTAGACGGGGCGTCGTTGGCATGTTATAGCCGTGTCCCTTTTGCCAGAACAGAAGTTTCTCGATCAGTAAATGGACGATACGAAATATTGGTGACAAACCTATAATTTTGGATGCTTTAGGATGAGCTCCGGTCCAACAGGTACGAGAGTTTCTTATCCTGATTGGTCCAGTTTTTTGCCGTCGATGCCGCAACGGACTTCAGGTTTGTAACCAATCTGGCGTGAAGCCGTGTCAAGGCAGCAAAAACGCACAGACGCGTTTCAAACACGCTGCATTTAAGGCGGTTTCAAGTCAAGTTGAAGTCAAGGAGTGTTTCTGAATGTGGTGGTTACGCTCTTCATTTTCGATTCATCTACCACAAAAATGTTCATGACTCATCTCAAGAAGTTATTTTCCAACCTATCACAATGAATTTTATACTGCTAATTTTATGGGCACAGTGCGTTGACATTCTTTTGTAGTAACTTTATACTACTACCTCCCCTCAGCGAACTCTTTGGCAGCGTGGAAATGACACTTTTTAGCTCATGGACCTTTAACAAAACAACTAATAGGCAACATACATAATTAAAATATTGAACGTCATAATAAATATCATAGAGCAGCATTCAGTCTACATATATAGTCTACAGACAAAAATAACTTTCAAAAGCCACTTGATAGTGCATTTCATGAAGTTCGGCTTACATCTTTGACAGTGACCCGTGAACAAAGTCTAGTCGAAAGAACCAAGGAGATACGTTTCTGTTCGGGTTAAAAAGCGAAATGATTGATGACGTTTCAAGTGACCCATGAAGATTTTAAATCTTCCGCGTTCATTTGCTTTCTCTACAATAACAGTTCTCCTTATATATGCTAACAAAAGCCGACTGTGCGTATAAGGCTCTTTAGCGATAAAAAATTATGCTGCTGTCCAGCTTGTTCTGCGCAGTTCTTTTCGGTGTATCAGTGGCTACAAGATCGAATTTTTCAGAAGAAAGCATTCATAACGTAGATATTGTTAAGGTAAGCCGCTATAACATACTTCGATAGTTGTACAGATAAGAACTGAAGCTCCCGAAACGCTCTGTAAATATACGTTGAACTTTCAACATCGTTAATATGACGCCTCAACTCACAAATTTTGCTTGATCGAGGTTTCTTTTTTTTTTGGCCAAGGGATTCGGTAATAAGTCTCTCAATATGATTGCCCCAAAATTTCCTCTGAAATCTTGCGGTATACTACGAAAAGGCGGGGGAAGGATACGGGCCATGCTTTCGCGAACTGCTTCATAATTTTGCATTGCTGCGGTATTATTATTTGCGCTGAACAGTGTATCTCTGTTTAGTGTATGTGTAGTGTGTCGGGAATGGGGATCCGAAGTACTTGTTCTGTTGCTAAATGGTGTTTTGCATTCTGTATTTAAACTTTCCATAATAAAGTGGAAATGGTAAAACTCTGACGTCAAAGCGACGTTGCGCCCGAAATTGGCGCGATGCATCCTCATATGAGATGATAGAAGTATTACAATCAGGCCATCTTGCGAATCAGGAGCTCACATGATGGTCTTCGTGATAGTTGCCATCTGTTCTACACAGCACATTTTTGCTTTGATTATGTGCTTGGGTCATATTTATTGGTAGCACGCGTAATAGCCATTTATTACTAGTAATCTTATTAGAAATATCAGAGGTAGTACGTCTCAAAACCACAATATTAATATGATAGATGGCGTGGTGGACGACTCCGAAAATTTCGGCCACCTGGGGTTGCTTAACGTGCACCTAAATCTAAGTACACGAGCCTCGTGTATTTTCGCCTCCATTGTAAGTGCGGCCGCTACAGCCGGGATTCAATACCCTGATTTGTGGGTTGGCAGTCGCGTACTACACTACCTTGATGGGTTATTAGCCAATAATTGCGGTTCTAAGCAGAATAGACAACTGCAGACATGTTGCCGTTTGTGATTGCGAACGAATGGCCACAAAGTTAAGCCAAACTGATACCTATTTTTCGTCAGTATTATGCACAGAGCAATGTGCGCTTTCACTGCGCGAACCCAATGGTATCATTGAAGGAATCACAGTTTCATTAGGCAGTGACCTAAATCGCAGCTACACTTTAGTGTCTAAAAACTTCACTCCGGCTAGAGAAAAGCTTATAAAATTCTGCACGGTGAAGCTTCTTCAGTTCAGTTTGTCAGGATACTCTACGCAATCTAATATAGCCTGCATTATTTTTAAATGTCCTTGGCCGCAAGAAAAAGTGCGCCCGAGACGCCTAGCACCAGCGAATACACGACACTGACGATACTGCCAGTCGTTATGCTTGTACCAAAAAGAGCTTGCGAGGAAAGATTTATCACGAACCAGGTTGGGGGTATATAGCGGTGCACTGCGGTAAACTAAAAAGCAAAATGTCTAACTCTGCGGCCGACAATTTCGCTTACCCACGGGTTTTCTGGCGCAGAAATGACTAAGTGCTTTAAAAATATGTTGTCTCAGAACAATTTGTGCTTTAGCATGAAAAGCTCCGCTGTTTTTTAACAAGTGAGAGTGCAAGAACTTAGGTAGCTTCACAGCGACGGTGCGTGAAAGGCCATCAAAGGTTGTGGAACACTAAGGTCTCAATCACTTGGCTAGATTTAGACAAGAAGCCGCACTTCAAGTGTGGCAAGATGGCTAAATAGGCATAGAGCGCTCAATGAAGGACCCGTTTTAATATGCAACTAGAGGGCGTCACAACCAGTTTCATTGATGGCTTAGTGTTTACAACGGATTGTGGCCTAACATTATTAAAGAACACACCGGCGCCAAACACCGATTATTTTACGCACGCTTCAGATTCCTTTGTTAACCATCTGTACTCGGTCACTTAGTGTTGTTTGAGCACGTTCTGGCTCACATTATTTTTTTATTTAGTATGCATGATAAACCAATACCTGAACAGTATTGCTATAAAAATAAATGCTTGTGAAACGTGGGAGGCCAAGCTCGTCATGGAGGACCTGGAAGACCAGCGATAACACGTCACCAGGGCCAAGAGGGCAGTCGAAGCCAGAGCGTTGCTGGACTAAGGAACTCTCCCACCTTAGGGTGACACCGGGCGTAGCTGGGAATACTGTTTTCTAAATAAACGTTTATTTCTCTCTTCCATGTGCGCATCCATCTTTGATAATTTGTTTTTCTCTGTTGTCAATTTTTTATATTGAACAAATTACAGTTCTGGAACACAAGCGAATTGATCTGGACGACCTACACAACTGTTTTGACACGTCGCGTCTGCAAAGTTGACATTAAAAAAAACATATCACAAACAAACATCAACTTTACCAGGTCATATCTCCGAAAGACCCGATCTTCATCAGAGTACGTAACTATTCTAGATATTTAACAGCATTGTATATACTGATTTTTGTCACCATGTATTTGGTTATTTGCTTGCTCATTAATTTACTCTTTGGCCATGGGCAAGATCTAGCAATATCAATTTTCTTCTGCCATTTTCACTAGCGATATTTCTTGAAAAACCTGAATTTAAAAGTGCAAAAATCTTGTAATTATGGGATAATAACTTGCCACATAATGAATTAAACATACAGAGTAAAATATATATCTAGATTCGAGTGTTAGAAGGGGTAAATTGAGCCAGAAGACGTTACGCAACATAATTCAGAAAAACTTTATTGAACACCGTGGTTCTTTAATGAACATAACCAACCAGGCGTAAGTAATGATCTCCGACAATTCTTTCTCCAAGTATGATGCAATTTGTACGCGAAAGAATTGTCATTGTGATCAGTGTCGTCGTCCATAAATTGCACTAATCATAAATTCGAAGCTCCTGCAGTGGGCTTCGGAAAAATTAAACATGCGCAAACAGAACTTGTAGTTGGTGTGCATGATCCAGGGGTGAAAAAAATGCGCAATGTGCATAATTTCTATTACTAGAAACGAATAATCGCAGCCGGAACAGCCATCAAGTTCTACAGAGGTACGACAGCAGTTTGGCTAGTTTTAGTATTTATAGTTCAAGTATTATCAGTCAGCCTTGAGTAGCTGCTTGCTTTAGACACGCCAATATTTTTCATAATAAAACTGGCGTCAATTTGCTGAATGGTTGGAGCGTTACAATTAGGCTATAGCTGAATAAGGTTCTAAAGAAGAGCGTAAGCTTTTGGCGACTTGAAGTTATGTACGCGACAAGCTTGATAGAGTGGGTATCCAATTCATAAATGGCGTACCATGATTCCGAGGCCTTCTTAAGCCTTTCTGGTCGTTTCATAGAGATGAGCACTTTATGAGATCTTAAAATAAAGACCATTGTCTAAACAGCTTTACGTAGACAGGATTTTCTGTGCAATATTGCTGGTCATGCAAAACGCAGCTTGGGGCGGTTAATCGTTATAGATATTGTCACGTTAAAGAGACAGGAGACGTTTTTAAGGCGTCCTCACAAAAGTCCGAAGAGCGGTCGGCTCAGCGCAGCCAAAAAACAGAACAATGGCACGAGGGGAACTGCCACTTCGTCTGCCTCTTTTGCGCTGGCAGATCAAGCGCGCGGCACTGCCCCTCCTCCCTGAAGAGCATCGCCTCGATGCTAAACGAAGCGTGTATCGTAAAAAAAAAACATTGTCACAGTGTGTGGTACGGTTTTAACCGCACCACGTGCACAATCTCGGGTCGTAGCTGTCGGCGTCGGGGTGGTTGGCTTCCGTCCGGAAGGACTTCGTAATTGACGTCGCTCACTTGTCGTAGCACTTTGTACGGGCCAAAATACCGACTGAGAAGCTTCTCAGAGAGACCTTTGCAGCGCACAGGGGTCCAAACCAACACCTGGTCACCTGGTTTATAATCGACTTGTCTGTGGCAGCGGTTGTAGCGCTGTGCATCGACGCCTTGTTGTTTCTTGATGTTTACGCGGGCTAGTTGACGTGCTTCCTCGGCTCGTTGCACGAAACACTCAGCATCTTCGTCGAGATTCTCGATGTTGTCAATGTCGCATGGGAGCATTGCGTCCAACATCGTCTGAACGTCCCGACCGTATAGAAGACGAAACGGAGTGAATCGTGTGGTCTCTTGCGTAGCGGTATTATACGCGAATGTTACGTAAGGCAGTATTTCATCCCACGTCTTGTGCTGTACGTCTATGTACATAGACAGCATATCAGTCATCGTTTTGTTAAGCCGCTCGGTCAGTCCATTTGTCTGAGGGTGATACGCTGTTGTCTTGCGATGCGTGGAGTAACTTAACTGAAAAACTTGTTCAAGGAGCCTTGCTGTAAACGCTGTTCCTCGGTCTGTGATGACACAGGATGGAGCACCGTGGCGTAATACAATTCTCTCGATGAAAAACTGAGCAACTTCACAAGCCGTGCTTTTAGGAAGCGCCTTAGTTTCAGCATAGCGGGTTAGATAATCTGTAGCGACGATTATCCACTTGTTGCCGGAAGATGACAAGGGAAACGGACCCAGGAGGTCCATGCCGACTTGATCGAAGGGTGTTCTGGGTGGCTCGATAGGGTGAAGTAATCCCTCAGGCTTAACAGATGGGGATTTTTGGCGCTGGCATTCGCGGCAGGCTTGAACGTACTGTTTAACGCAAGCGGCAAGTTTCGGCCAGTAGTAAGACTTTCGTACCCTAGCGATGGTTCGGGTGATGCCCAGATGGCCCGATGGAGGCTCGTTGTGGCAGGCAAATAGAATTTCCTCACGCAGCTCTGCGGGGACGACCAACAGGTAAGTTTTGTTGCTGGCGGCTGCGTTCTTCTTGTACAACACGCCCTGTCGTAAGCAGAAGGATGACAATCCGCGAGTTATATGCTGGGGCAGTGATACGTTGCGGCCCTCTAGATGTTCAATGATAGGTCGCAATTGAGCATCTGCTCGCTGCCGTAAAGCCAAGTCTGTTACGCTTACGGAGCAAAGGAAAGGGCAGTCCTCTTCGAAGCTCTGAGCGGCAGGCTCAACTGGCGCGCGTGACAACGTGTCCGCATCTTCGTGTGCACGACCGGACTTGTACACGATAGTGACGTCGTACTCCTGCAGACGTAGGCTCCACCTTGCCAGTCGTCCGGAGGGGTCTCTGAGGTTCGCAAGCCAGCACAGCGAGTGATGATCCGTCACTACTCTGAATGGACGGCCGTAAAGGTAAGGTCGAAACTTAGCAATTGCCCACACGACAGCAAGGCACTCCTTCTCCGTGGTACTGTAGTTTGACTCCGGGCGTGTTAGGGTTCGGCTTGCGTAGGCGATAACCTTTTCAATTCCCTCCTGCCGTTGGACGAGTACCGCGCCCAGACCGACGTTACTGGCGTCGGTATGAATTTCTGTTTCGGCTTCCTCGTCGAAATGTCCAAGAACAGGTGGTGATGCCAGGCGAAGCCGAAGCTCTGTGAATGCTGATTCTTGTTCAGCACTCCAAACGAACGGCGTATCGTCTCTAGTGAGTCTAGTTAATGGTTCGGCAATTTTCGAAAAATTGCCTATAAAGCGCCGGTAGTACGCGCATAGACCAAGAAACCGCCGCACACTTTTCTTATCGGCAGGAGTCGGGAAGGCTGCGACAGCGGCGGTTTTCTCAGGGTCAGGACGGACGCCTTCTGCGCTTACGACATGTCCAAGGAACTTTAGTTCTTCGTAACCGAAATGGCATTTTTGCGGCTTTAACGTAAGGTTAGCCGTCCGAATCGCCTCAAGTACTTGTCGTAGTCGCTTCAGATGTTCGGAGAAGCTGGTTGAAAACACGACCACATCATCCAAGTACACAAGGCAGCTTTGCCATTTTAAGTCAGTCAACACAGTGTCCATCATGCGTTGGAAGGTAGCTGGCGCAGAGCAGAGTCCGAACGGTAGCACCCGAAATTCGTAGAGGCCATCCGGCGTGACAAAGGCGGTTTTTTCGCGGTCGCGCTCATCAACCTCAATTTGCCAGTAGCCACTCTTTAAATCCAGGGAAGAAAAATACTTCGCTCGTCGTAGTCGGTCAAGCGAGTCATCAATACGCGGCAGCGGATAAACATCTTTTTTTGTGACGTTGTTGAGCTTTCTGTAATCTACACAGAAGCGAAGCGTACCGTCCTTCTTCTTAACCAGAACGACCGGTGAGGACCAGGGACTGTTCGAAGGCTGGATAACGCCGTCGTCGATCATTTCTTTCACTTGCTGCTTGATAGCTGCGCGTTCTGTCGGCGAGACGCGGTATGGCTGTTGGTGAATAGGTCTTGCGTCGTCGTAAGTGATTATCCTGTGCTGTGTAATTGGTGTCTGACTCACTTTAGACGACTGAGCAAAGCACGCCCTGAATTCAAACAATAGCTCTCGCAAGGCCCTCTGGTTCTCTTCTGGCAGTGCACTGTTCATGTCAACATCTATTACGGTTTGTCCATTGCGGCTACTGTCTTCACAGGCAAAACACTCAATGACGTCCTCCAAGGCTTCAGCGTAGGCGACCGCAGTGCCCCGGAAAAGGTGACGATGCTCATTGGTGAAATTTGTAATCATGACCTCGGCTGTACCGTTCCGAATGTCAATGATGCCTCGTGCCACAGAAATTCCAAGCGCCAGCAGCAGGGAGACGTTGCACTCTGCCACTGTTTCACCGTCACTGGTTCCTTCGGAAGTCACCTGAATTAGGATACTTGCACGAGGTGGTATTGTGACACTGTCGTCGGAAACACGGAGGGCGGTTGTACGGCGGTTGGAGTCCCTTGACGTAGCGTTGACTGTCGAAAAGGAAATGCAGCGTCGCCGTAGGTCGATTACGGCGCCATATTCCCGAAGAAAATCGAGGCCGAGAATTAATTCGCGGGAGCAGTCACGTAGCACGATGGAGCTGACCAAAAACGTGCAGCCTCGTATTTGTAGCCTGGACGTGCACAAACCAACCGGCGTTACAACATGTCCGCCAGCTGTACGTACATGCGATCCTGTCCAAGGCATTATCACTTTCTTCAAGGTACGTGCCAATTGTCCGCTAATAATCGAGTAGTCAGCACCAGTGTCTATTAAGGCAGTTAAATTGCGACCGTCGAGCAGCACAGGTATGTCCATTGAAAAGTCGCTCAGCTGGGATACAGGCGCCGGCGTAGTCGAATTTCCGTTGGTCCGATGTCGCGTCGATTGGAGGGCGAGGTCTTCATCACGTCGAGAATCAGCGGCCTCGCCTCGAAAGGTCGCTGGCGTTAGTTTTCCAGGCGAGGGCTCGGAGACCGTCCTTGCGGCCTTCGATTTCCGTTGCCTGAATAAGATGACGACCGCGGTGACGGTGAGCGCGACTGACGCCTGAGTGGGACGTTCTGCCGAGCGATAAAATCTTCAATTTCTGGTGGTCTCTGTCCAAACCGGGGGCGGGGTGAATTGGCAGGAAAACCCTGCAGCCCAAGTCGGCGGTACTGGCAGTCTCGGTAGAGGTGACCCGCTTCACCGCAGTGGTAGCAAAGCGGTCGTCGGTCGGGCATGCGCCATATGTCGGATTTACGCATGACGGGTCGAGTGTCTGCAAAATAAGGGACCACCTGTGCGGACTGCAGTGTGGCGTACGGGGTTGCGGCTGGTAGTGGGACTGGTGCAGGTGCGTTGTGTTCGAACGTGTCGGTATAAGTGGTGCGCTGGAAACCACTCACTGGGGATGGTGTCGTGGACGACGGAACGGTGCGTCTCAATACGTCTGCGTAGGTCACCCCTAGAGGTTCACTTGAAGTTGCGAACGCCTGAAGTGGTGCAGCAACCTGCGTTGGTGTCTCGCGGCGAGGTGTGCCGAGCGCATGCTGAACTTCGTCACGTATGATGGTGGCGATGCAATTCGTGGAAGGCTGCTGCTGCGCCTGGTTCAGCTGTTGCAGCTGTTGTAGCTCGTCGCGAACAACCGAACGTATCAGCTCGCGAAGCGCTCCCACGTCGGTCGGGAACGAGCCTAGCCCGGTGGTATAGGTAGCATTCACTTGCCGATCGTACTGGTTCCGCTGCTGCAGCGCCTTTCCATGGCGACGGCTTCAGTGAGGAACTCCGCGACCGTTCTAGGCGGACTACGAATGAGTCCAGCGAAGAGCTGCTCTTTCACACCTCGCATCAAGTGTCGCAGCTTCTTGTCTTCCGGCATGGTTGGATCAGCGCGAGTGAACAGATGAACCATATCCTCCACGTATGTAGCCACACCTTCATTAGGCATCTGCATGCGGGACTGGAGGGCCCTTTCAGCGCGCTCTCGACGATCGAGACTCGAGTACGTTTCGCGGAGCCTGTGACAGAACTCATGCCACGACGTTAGGAGGCCCTTGCGGTTCTGGAACCATGTGCGAGCACCATCCAGAAGACTAAAGTACACATTCTTGAGCTTCGCTACTTCGTCCCACCCGTTGAAATCCGCTACGTACTCGTACTCAGCCAGCCAATCTTCCACATCTTCATAGAGGCCACCACGAAAGGGACTCGGAACACGTGGTTTTTGTAGCGTGTAATGAGTGGGTGCAGCTGCGGGTGCAGCGGTTGGAGCAGCGGCGGCTCCAGCGGTAGGGGAAGCGGTGACAGCAACAGTATTCTCCATACCAGTCGACGTACTTGTACTGTGAGGCACAAACTCGGGGGACAGTCCTCGAATCCTCCGACTGAAACGGTGTACCGGCGTAAGCTCTGGGTTTTGGGTCACGTTCCGGCTGCTAGAAGGAGTCTGTTGCATAGGTGAGGTTACCCAGCACCTCCACCATTAAAATGTCACGTTAAAGAGACAGGAGACGTTTTTAAGGCGTCCTCACAAAAGTCCGAAGAGCGGTCGGCTCAGCGCAGCCAAAAAACAGAACAATGGCACGAGGGGAACTGCCACTTCGTCTGCCTCTTTTGCGCTGGCAGATCAAGCGCGCGGCAATATGATGTCCCATCTTTTTGGAACATTATTACCTTTTGCCTGTGTGGCGTATGTGGGTTACTTTATTAATGCTAACCCTAATTATCAGGTCTCCCATTTTTGGAGATTTTAGAAGCAACCTCATCGCCCATTTCAGTTTCTGTTGCATCTCTTCTTATTCGGGAGACTTGTGCCCTCGGGTGGCGCATTGCTGAAAAGATGAAAAGAGTTCAAAGTTAAATTGCGATTTTTGGGCCCAAAAGAACCAACACATGTGAGAAGGCAGGCTACGTGCTATACTCTAAGCCACAAAGGGCGAAAAGAGGTCTGTGGTTTGTCCTTTTGAGAGGTAACTGCGTTGCGTAACCACTACTCTTCAAAGTATGATTGATTCGTCCTTTTGGGAGTAACTGTCAGGGGACGAACTGTTTAGTTCTCTGTAGTTTTGAGGAACGAAAGGTCAAGGAGTAAAAGTTACCCTTTTATGGGGCAGAAGTGACTGCGTAGGGACGAACTGTTAGTTCCATCAGTTGTTCGTTCGTGAAAAAAAAAATTATTCAGTACAACTTCTGGCTGAAATACAGAGAACATGGAGGCTGATGATTATATTTTACGACATATACAATCAATACACAAGAGGTGAATTCAGAAAATAAATTACAAAATGTTCACGACCAGCACACAGCACTCGAACTCGTCTCAATTGGATCAGCAGTCGCGTACGCTTGCCACTATACCACACCACAGTTTTTTCTTCTTTCATGAATGAAATTATCACCAGTAAAGTACACACAAGATACTTCATCAGAAGTCAGGCAAACACACACAAGCGTGAAGAATGAGAAGCCACTCCGGAACGGGTTAAAAGTCTCAACAACACTGCGCACTTGAGCAGATGCTTCTCGGAAGACAGATCTCGTCGAACGTGGTGGCTCAGCGTGTCTATCAATCATGCGACTTTTCCATAGTGAATAAACTCCCAACAACTTAAATACTTCCTAAGAAGTATTGTCAGTAAGACTCTTTTTGAATGGAGGAACCTAATACCATGAGCTGTCATTGGAAGTTATTTTCTTAATTTTCTTTCTAGAGTGTCCTAAAAATAAAAAGCGTCACGTCAATGAATAAAACAATGCTCTATAGTCTCGGGTTGGTTGCATAGTATACAATTCACTGTGTATGGTATGTATATTAATTTTTCATTTAGCCAAGTTGGCACTGGCAGCGTGGAAGTCTGCAGTTTAAAGAAAAATGTTATCGCTGAAGTAGATATCCACATTCTATGTAATCGAAATAATACATCGTGAACAGACAAAAACGAATATGGCTTTCGATAAACAGGTTCAGGGAAAAGGTTATTCACAAGTGCAGCGGTTAAATTTGCTCTGTCAATTGTATACAAATACTCTAAGGGAAACCTGGCTTTCATGCCAGAGTGAGAATTACAGGGGCATACATAGACACCATCTCGACGCTGCACGGTCTTCCGTGTTTTTTAAACTATAAAAGATTCCTTATTGGTCTTAAGCCTTTAGTGCTTGCCAAGCAACCATTCGGCGATCACGTTTGTGGAAATGTGAAATGCGTTGAATAGCTATTTCTGCGCGCGTAGTTCAGGCGCATTTGTATGCTTGATGAGCGTATTTATATATAAATCTTTCCGTAAATGTTGCCGTCACTATGCCAAGCTTGCTCGCTTCATAGAGTACAGGACGCGGTTGGTGATGTCGTTCAGTGAAAATGTCTGTTTATTGACAGAAAATTGAGAATGTTTGAATAAACAGCCAAGTTTATTCGGCGACTCATGTCAATTCTGCAGCATCTTGCGCACATATAAATTCAGCGCCTTTTATTAGTACAAAAGATACACTCATGGAGAGACAATAAATGAAACAATGCTTCATTGGAATGGATTCTGTCCAGTTGATTTGAGGAAGTGCACCCACACCATCGATAACTGCTGAGAGCATGTTCTTAGCTGCAATATATTGACTGTCCTCGAAAGGCGCAACACTTTCATTCATCGCTTTCCTGAAAAAAGTAATAGCAGAAACATTCATTATTTCAGATAGAACTGTTCATGCATAGTTACGTCCAGTCGTGTAAAAATTAGACGAAAACTGCTTTTTAACAGAACCAGCCATAATGCAATTAAACAGCTCAAAACGTGTTATGAAGCACAGGAAGCCCGTTTTCGAGTTTAACGGTTCAAGCTTTCACTGTGAAACGCGCGTGGGCCCACCCTTTTATCCATGAAGCTCGCGCTTCATTTTAGAGGTTTAAAACTGAAACATAGATAGCATCACTACAGATGATTGAAATCGCTGACGTGATCACGGCCTGCGTTTGTTAGCGGTGTCAAGCCAAGCTAGACATCCAATGTAGACCGCTGACCTTCCTAAAATAGTTGTTTACCTTGTAAAAAATTACATTGTGCGGAGTTTAAGTAATTTTTTAAAGTGTGGAAATATCTGATCAACAGTGCTTATATATTTGTGGTGCACTGAAAGCAAAACAATTTATGAACAGCTGTACATGCTACAGCTAATGGCTACCACGTTTCGATGGCTCATGCACATTTTTAATTCTATAGCAGACGGTCCAGCTCTCGCAAAGCTGTGTGGCGCAAGCTCACTAATCATGTGGGTTTTCTTCGCGAAGAACATGAGTGTTAAACCACGGCCGCCTGGATCGGTTGCGCACCTGATCCAGGCTGCCATCGTTAAACAAACGGTCCTCGTTACATGTCAAGAGCACACAGGTAAATCTTCTCGCAGAGTGAGGGCAGTCTTGTTAACAATCACTTTCCAGGTGATACACCACTTAGCGCGTAGCATTTCGATAGCGTAGCGCTTCATTTTAGTATTGGATCACGTTTCCTACAGCGCAGAGACGATTCATTGCACCACAAGAGACAGCAATCACAACCTCATAACGATAACACATCCTGTTATGCCTGCGAGTCCGCAGCGAACGTCCATGCCTCAAAAAAAAGGAAATCTGTGTGAAGGCCAGCACGCGAGCCCGCCTGACGCGATGAACAACTCAACGGCGTCATCACGCGACGGCGCCTTTTTGCCGCGCACGTGCAGTGAGTCACGTCAGCCAGCGAGCCGGCGCCTTCCTGTCTTGCGAGTCTGACGCAATGCTTGGCGACGTCACTCGTCCTTGGGTGCAGCCACGTGCAACGCAGCGGCTCCAGATTCGAGGAGAAAGAATGACGCGGACCAGCGGTGACCCCATTGAAGGAGTCTGACCTCACGACCAGCGGCGCTTCTGGTTGGACATTTGGTTACTCAAAGAATCCACCCGATGCATATAAAAGAAGCGCTGTGGCGCGTCTAAGCAGTTGAGCTATGTGTTAGCAGCAGACCTAGGTGTTAGAGAGAAAAGCTCGGCTCTTCGGGTCTCTAAGCTGTCGGCCCCAGTGCTGAATTTGTAACGCCTCTTTATATATGCTGTACATAAACCTTGTTTAACTCACCGTCGTCTCGTCCGCTCGTCTATCAGCTCTGCGCAGAAGCAGTCGCGAGCTGAGAAACCTACGCTACCAAACGGCTTGTGACCTTCCTGGCGGAATTCGAAGCAGTGGCGCCTTCGGGACCGTGTTGGCGTCGCCGTCTTTCGTAACATTGGTTGCAGCGGTGAGATTTGTGGCGCCCTTCGTAACGTCGTCGGAGGCGCGCTTCGCAACAGTGGTAGGCAGCTGCGGGATCAGCCGGCGTCAGCGACACCGATGCGTTGAGTGCCTGACGTTTTCCCCTCAGTTCACCAGACTACTCTAGCTCAGGTTTAGTTTAGAGAAGGGCTGTGTGAAGCATTAGAGTGAGCTTTGATCGTTTCAAGCAAAGTCAGAGTGCTTTGAAACCAAAGTTAATGCGGAGGGGGTAAACACGGGAGTGTTAAAAATTGCTTGCGCGTTTTGCTAGTAGACTTATAGTGGGTACGGCAAGTAAATTCTTAACAGAGGAAAACAGCAACAGGCTAGTGAGAATGATGGAGAACCTTAAAGTGAAGGAACTCATTGAAATTTGTGACGAACTCGGCATTACTTTGGGCCGTGCGAAACGAAAGCAAGCGATCCTTGAGATCATGAAGAATGAAGGAGTGTCGGCTGAGGAAATCGATGAGGCCTGGGCGGATATCAAAGCACGCCGCGAGGAGGCCGAAAGGCGAGAAGCTCGCGAACGTGAAGAAGCTGAAAGGCGCGAACGTCGCGAGCGCGAGAAGGCCGAGAGACAGGAGCGCCTCGAGTTGAAACAAATAGAATTGGCAATTCTACAGTGTTCGCAGGCGCCTAGCGTAGCTTCTCCGACAATTCAGGTCAGCGGTTATAGAATTCGGGACCAACTGCCACCATTCGTAGTAGGCGAGGACATGGCGAAGTATCTCGTCAAGTTTGAATACGTCTGTGAGCGAAATGCTTTGGAGTGGTCTCTTTGGGCGCGGAACCTGTTAGCTCTTGTTCCCGGCGAAGTGTCCGACGCGATAACTTGCTTGTCGAGGGAAGCGTTTGAGAGCTATGATGAGATTAAGGAAGTGCTCTTGAGACGTTATAAGTTGTCAACCGAGGCTTTCAGGCAAAGGTTCCGGTATGCTAAAAAGGGAAATGAGCCACACGTTGACTTCGTGTTTCGTCTTAAAGCCTATTTAATTGAATAGCTCAAGGGTGAAGGTGTTTATGACGACCACGATAAAGTGGTAGAATGCATTGCATTGGAGCAATTCTACCGCTGCATCAAAGAGGATATCAAGCTTTGGCTGCAGGACAAACTTGGTGAAGTACAGCTAAACAAGGCAGCAGAGTTAGCTGAGGAGTATTATACTCGCCGAAAGTTGCATAGCAGGGCAGTGCGCGTTGAAAAGGATAAAAGGAAAAAGGGCTTTTCAAAGAAACCTGATCAATGGAAGCCGCGCTTCTGCTACAACTGCAGAAAGGAAGGGCACATCGCGATAAACTGTGAGCAAAAGTTTGCGACTATCCGAGAATCAGAAAACAAACAGAAGCCGCGAATCTGCTACAACTGCAAAAAGGAAGGGCACATCGCGATAAACTGTAAGCAAAAGTTTGCTTTTGCAACAATCCGAGAATCGGAAAAGAACATGCGGTTGTTAGAGCCATATATCCAAGAAATTAGTGTGAATGGGAAAGCGTGTCGAGCACTCCATGACTCAGCGGCAACAATGGACGTTGTTTATCCTTCATTGGTGTCTCCGGATGACTTTACAGGAGAATGCGCGTGGATCAGGCAAGTCGCCGAGGAGCAGAGTGCTTGCTTACCAATCGCTACGGTTGTTATTGAAGGCCCGTTCGGTAAGCTTTGCAGCGAAGCGGCTGAGTCTGCCGCGCTTCCCGATCGTTTTCCTTATCTTTTCTCTAACAACTCAGAGCAGCTTCTCAAAGAGCAGGGTAAATCGTTTTTCCCAAACTTAGCGTACAAGGCCCTCACGCAATCGCAAGCGCGGAAGCTTTCGCAGGTGCTTGATCTTGTTCAATGCGGTGAACTCTCAAGTCACTTTGTCGGCGGGTCGACGGAACCTCAGAGAGTAAATTTTCCGCGTTAGTCATGTGAGCAGTCACTTGAGCGGCCCGTCGCCGAAGCGACCGGCGCGGTTTCCGTAGCAGGGGGAGACGACCTGGCGCCATTGAATCAGAGCGAGAGGGGTGCAACGCTCTCGCCTGTAGCAGAAAGTTGGAGTGAGCTGTCGAGGGTTGATCGAGAAACGCTCATTCGAGAGCAGCGTGAGGACCTCACGATAAAAGCGCTAGTGGAAAGTGTAAATTTAGGAAAAAAAGAAAAAGAAGGTTTCTTTTTTCGATAAAGCAGGTCTTTTCTATCGGAGCTACACAAATTCGCAAGGTCGCAAGTATGAGCAGCTCTTGGTGCCACAAAAGTATCGTCGCCAACTATTGGAACTCGCGCATGAAAACGCATGGACAGGTCATCTCGGCATAAAAAAGACCAAGGCTAGAGTTTCCCTTGAGTTTTATTGGCCGAAATGCTGGAAGGATATCGAAGACTTTGTACGCTCGTGCGACACTTGTGAGAGAGCGGGGAAATTCGCGGACAAGTGGAAGACACCGATGAAGCTTTCTGATACCGATTATGAAGTGAAATAAGGTAGGCAGCCGAACAAAATTTACCACGTTGACTTGATGAAACCATACGTTCAACGTTAAG